GTGCCTAGCACAGTTTGTGGCATAAAATAAGTGTTCAATACATACTACTGGGTTAGTTTCTCGCCAGTAAGGGAAGCTAGAACAGTGCATGTGTCCGTCAAAGTCGATTCAGGAAAATAGAAATTACTCTAAGTATTTAAAACACAGAGGGAATGTAACAGAAGGAATTGGTTATATAGATAGTGGATGAGCTCCCAAGCCACAGCAGGCAGCTATTATCACCCCCACCGCCTCGGGGGGCTGGAGTCAGCCTGGTGGAGGATGGCAGGCAGGATCTAATGTCCTGGAGAAAACAAAACCACTGTCACAGACACTGTCTGAGATCAAGAGACCGGAGAAATACCTGGCTCTGTGTTCCTCCCACCCTCTAATCATCCATCTCCCACTGGCCAAATACTGCCAGAAGCCAGCTGACTAGAAAGACTGGCTTTAAGGACAGGACAATGGGCAGAGCACCCACCAGAGATTGCGCTTGTCTTGTGCCCATCATGAGAAACCATGGGCTAACGATGATGACCACCCTGCAGTGGTGCACAAGTGCTTGCCCTTTCATGTTCCATCATTGTCTAGGCTCCATGAAGGTATCACTCTTTTGCTAACTTATCATGTCTTCAGATAAGTCTAAATTCAATCTGATTGGCCTATATCTTTCTTTGTGTTTCAACTGGCAATGACAGCAATCAACGCTATTGAGCATCTGCTCTACTTCAGACATTCTGCTCAGACTTGAGGATATAGAGCTCAAAAAGTGAGAGGCCCTGTATGGCAAGGAATTCTCCATCAAGCGGAAACAGACAAGTAAACAGACCATTTATCTGCCATGTGGTAAGTGCTATGACCACAATAAGCAGAAATGTTGGAACTTGGGAACTCCAATGAGGTCAAACCCACCCCCAATAGCTTGAAAATACAGGAAATAAGATTGTTTTATGAGTTTAATCTGTAAAATAAATGCACAATGGGTCAGAATAGAGATAAGCAAAGACAAATGAAAGAGTTGGAATAACCCCTAAGGCTCCACCCAGTTCTAATATCCTGGGGCTCTGTGCTCTATACGCGCACCAGAAGGCCATGCACTGCACAGGTCTTTCCACGCATAATCTCTGTTATTGGACCCCTGGGTCTCTGAATTTCATTCCATGGACACCTGAACCTTGTAAATAATAATTTTACAGGTGGAGAATGATGCAAGATTTTCTTTGTCCTGCCCAGGGTTGCAGAACTAAATAGTTGCAGAGCAGACATGGGAAACCTAGTCTCCAGATTCTCATCTCTGCTCTAAGACGTTATCCCAGATCCAGAGATGTGTTCTGCTGTTGTGAAAAATAAAACTTGGCTAAAGTAAGACTCTTAATTTCCACTTAGTTGACAGCTTCCCAGATTGTGTGCAAACTCCTTTAAAAAAAATTAGGTGCACGTAATAATGTTATTATTTTTCACTTCCAAACAGCTGATTGGGTTGTGGTTTTATATACTTATGACTTTGTTTTTTAAATACAAAACCTTTGCAGGGTGTGTTGCTTCTAAACATTCTGCGCAAGTTGTGAGCTCGTTCCTGGCTTTTCCACGACAGTGTTCTCTTCCAAGTTGATGCCCAGACACTCTTCAGCTGTCTTCCCCCCACAGTCGCCTATCTGCTAAGCTACCAGAGTAGCCAGCCCCTTGGAGACAAATGGAAACAGGCTTTAGAATGATGAGAACAATGGTTTCTGACTTTAGTGACCCTACTGAAGTCTTGCCACTTCTCTGACCCTAATATATATGTTCCTACAGTAAGTGCAGAATAGTGAGGTAAATTACTATAAGGTGTTCCTAAGTAAAATGAAACGAAACAATACCTCATCAAGACCTGCTATATGAGGAAACATAATCCTGGCCCTGATTCTTCCTACATGTTGGAAGTGAACTGCAGCAGGCTCTCAAATTTGAGGAAATTATTTTATTCCCAGTGGAAGAGGCGACTCAAGTATTTATACTTTCCAGCTACTTATTGTAAAACAAGGAAGCCTTTAAGAGCAAATTGGCAGAGAGAGCTGAGGTTGGTTCCAATGACACCATCACTGACCTTCCTGGAAAGGAATTATTTGTTTGATGGCCTTGCTCATGGCTTTCAGGATTCTCTTTGTGCAATGAAGTGGGAGGCAATTACCTTTTAGGCGTTTTCCAAATGCTGGCTAAATTGGATGGCTGGCCAAAGACTGTGTGGACAGGGCACATTGTTATTTGGTAATCGCTTATTAAGCACTGTTCTGAACATTTTGGGGGGATCTGCATTTAATTCTTAAACTAACCCCATGAGGAAAATAAGTTATGATTGATAGATGCGCAATCTCAGACTATAGTGATGTTTCCAATCTTTTTCTCATCATAGCACCTCTTTGAGGGCTGAGAGGACCAATCTCTGGGCACATACATACACCACTCACAGTGCATTGGAGGAAAAGCTCAAGTTGGATAGGGTTAAATATCTTGCCAGGGTTAGGAAAGCAGCCAAGCTGAGATTTAGCTCCAAGGCCGTGACTACAAAAACTGTGCTCTTGACCTCTGCTTTATACTGCAGTGTGCCACCAACCTATTCGTGTGGTGGTGTAAAATTCTCACAAACATATTTCTCTTCATTTGAAGACTGATGTAGCTGAGTCCCTCTATGATGCTGGTGTTGGGACGTAGGCCAAACCCTCAGTTTATTACGTTATCCTATTGGACTGTTCTTTCTTTCTTTCTTTCTTTTTTTTTTTTTAAAGATTGGCACCTGAACTAATAATTGTTGCCAATCTTCTTTTATTTTCTTTCTGCTTTTTCTCCCCAAATCCCCCCAGTACCTAGTTGTATATTTTAGTTGTGGGTCCTTCTAGTTGTGGCATGTGGGATGCCGCCTCAGCATGGCCTGGTGAGCGGTGACATGTCTGTGCCCAGGATTGGAACCAGCAAAACCCTGGGCCACCAAAGCAGAGCACGAGAACTTGACCACTCAGCCACAGGCCTGGCCCCTGGATTGCACTTTCAATTTTCAGTGCTTTTATGGTCACCATCTGACTAATGTTTTAATGGACATCTTGTCATCTCATTGGCTACATTGTAAAATGATTCTAGTACATGAACACTCTGAGTGGGAGGGTGTGGGAGGTTAAAATAGCAAAGCCAAGCAAACAGCCCAGCTATTACTACACTAGAAAGATCAGAAGTCACTGTCCAGGCTAATTTAATGCACCCCAGGGCAATCTGGGAAAGTGAGTACATTCCGTTTTATACATTTGAGTCTGCTGAGAAGCTGGTTAGGAGGATATTCCTCCAAAGATCAGCCAGTCAGGATCCAGCATCCCATGTGTGACCATTCCTGTCCACAGGATGCAGACACAAAACGTGAGCAGGGCTTCTCGTCTGAGTGTTACATGTCTATCTGGTCCTCTCTGCTCCATGGTCAGTTTATTAGAAGCTTGTATGAGTGAGAGTTAAAGATCTCATGGGCTCTGTCCCTTTACTGGGAGATAAAACCTCTCCCTGGGTTTTCTTCCTCCAAGTTATATTTTTTATCTTGCGAGTGTTTATTGCATGCTCACCTAGAATGCTAGATTCAATATCTACTGAAAAATATCTAAAGATAACAGAACTATACACGGTTTTTAATCCTAAGGAAATTCCCACCCATTTCAGTGGTATTTACTCTAAGTTAAACATTGAAGGAACCAAGCAGTGTGTATCTCTTAGCAAGAGCCTGGAGGATGTCAAGCTGTGGCTGTGAGCCGCAGCTGCTCGAAGCCTTGTCCTAGGAGCCTAGAACTTGCAGGTGTCTCTTCAGGAAGCAGACTCCCCGCAGAAAAAGGGAAATGGACATGAATTTGCAACACCACACACTGAAAGTATTCAACCAGACTTTACCCAGTGTTTATCCAACACTTTGTTAATCTGTGCTCATAAAACTAACCCATTCCTGAAACAGCAGAAACAGGCATCATTTACTCCTAAATGCCTTCCCATTTGCCTTGCAAGCAATGCCTTTTTCAGACAAGACCATTTTTTTCAGTGTTAAAAATGAGAATCTCTGAAGAAAAAAGTGAGTATCAGATCTCTATAGATCACCATTCACCTCAAGAGAATTGGACCAGGGGCCCCAGCAAAGGAGAAATTGTGCCAAATGTGTTTCCAGGGACAAAATCAATAAGAAATATAGCTTGAGTATACCATACTCTTCAATTAGTGAGAAAGATCTATTATATTGCTAAAGCTGAGAAAACACTTCCAAATCACGTAACTGTGGTCAATGTCCAGACCTAGAGCAAAACTACTAAGTAGTAGGGTTTATACCATAACCAAGAGATTCAAAAGAATGAAAATACATAAACCTCCCCCCTCCCTCCAACTAGACTGAGGTGATTTTTTTTAACAAATCTTTGCTGGGCTGGAAGAAAAGCAAGAAAGAAAACAAGAGAGTAAGTTATTGGTCTGTATCGCTGATGGAAACTCCAAACCCTGGGGGTTGGGATGATAGAATCTCTCAGAAGGATTTGAGGATCTCAGAGCAGGACTTGTGCCTCCACTCCCCATCAAGAGTCCCAAGGAAATATTCTCACAGAGAGCCCTGTGCAACATGCGGGGCCCTAGTGGAGCAGAGATGGCTGCAGGACAGATAGAGCCGGAGAGACCATCTGAGACACATCCACCATCTCCACCTCCATGTTTCCTGCAGCATCAGAGCAGCACAGAAGAGCAGCAGATGTCTTCCCATGGCTTCCCTCACACTCTTCCCCCATGAGACCCGGCAAGAGTTTGGCTGAGAGAAAGCCAGTGGACCGGGAATGCCCTTATGGTGTGTGGGCCTGGAAGCCAAAGGGCAAGGACACAATGGTGGATGGCAGTGAGGACAGATGCCAAAAGCCAAAGCCAGTTCAGAAGAGGAACAGAGATCATCCTTAGTGAGAAGGTTTAAAAGAATAAAAAGGAGTGGGAGGAGAAGCAGAATGTTGAATTGACTAAGAATTTACTCAAGAAGGACTCAGTTTCCTGATACTAGAGTCACAAGCTGACATAGCTCTGGTCCTGGTGTGCTGGAGTCTTTGGAGAGAATCTGCTGCTCTTGATTCACCAGTGAGGGCAATCAGTGCCCCCAGTAGTGCCCAGATCAGAGCATGTCTTGCTGGCTCCGAAAAGGAGTGGCCAGACAGGCATCTTTCCTCATACCCATTAGGGAGTTGGTACCTGCCAGGGTGTATTATCAACCCTTTTCTCTGTTCTTCTAGGGCTACTAGAAAGTTCTAGGGAAGGCAAAGCCCCCAAAGCAGACTGTCCTGGTGAAGGCCAAATTCTTCAGCAGAAGAGCTGAGGAGAAGATCGAGGCTGTGTGTCCTGATGGCTTGACATCACCTGGAGGGAGGTTTATTAAATGCTAACCAGTGCTTTTCAAAAAAAAAAGACTGGATTTTAAACCAGAAGTAATTAAATTTATCTTGAATTAGAAAGATTTCTTTTTCTATTACCAAATAGAAATTGGAGCTCATGAGTTAATTTAATTCAACTACAGAAAAATAAAATTACTTCTTAGCTCACTTGACATTTGCAATGGTAAAAATTTACTCCCTCAACACATTTTAGTATAAATTTGCTGCTTCTGTTTCAGTTTTATCTCATATTTCAGAATGAGAGGCTTGCTGCCCTCTTAAAGGAGTTTTAATCCTCAGTGCAGGAATTAGAAGGCACTTTTTAGGAGCCGTACCGGTGGGCGCTGTGGTTGTCGCCCTGGTATCCGCTCCACCCTTTCTCCACTGTGAAGCAGCCACCGGGACCATGTCTCCATCTCTGGGGTGAGCCCACCTCCACTGCTGCTGGAACTGGTTCCTGGGCCAGAGTGCTCGGTCCTGGGCCATAAGCCAGCACTCAACACAGGCCTCCTCTTTCTGGAGATGAACACTGAAACACGGAGCCAGCCCTAGCTTGAAACTGACAGCACAGAAGGTAAAGAAAAGATGTTTGGTGAGTTACTCAATCAAATCAACACCAAAACCACCGCTTCTGAACTTTCCAGGCTGAGTCAATCAGTCTCTTTTATGATTTAACCCAGTTTGAGTTGGGCTTTGTGTTACCTGCAACCAAAAAACCCTGAAATGTTGCAGTTGGAGAAGGGACTTTCTCACCTCCTAAATCTCAGTGAATGAGTAAAGTCGGGCCTCACAAGAGTTACCTCATGCTTTGATGTCCTTTTTCTACAAAAGTATTCAATGAGAAAAACCAACAACGAATATAAGCAAATTCTATGAAGTGAAAAACCCAGGTCTCCTTTATTTCTCATATTTCATGTTTATCTTCCCCCTAACCTGTGGAATCAGTGACCTCTGCTCATGGATCTGTCTTTCCTTCCCTTCTTCCTTCTCTTCTTCCTTAAAGACAGGAGGGGAGGACGAGGAGAAGGAGAGTGAGAGAGAATGAAGGCAGGTAGGCAGGCAGTCATCAGCGACGGCTCCCTGCTTCTGATCGGGTGGATGAAACATTCCTTACTAGCTCTTATATAAAACTAAGAATGTGTGCTTCCATTGTTCAGGGATATTGGGTGACTCCAAGAGAACAATCCATTCCACAAATTCCACTGACAACTCATGACCAGGTGATGCAAGCAGTGGAACACAATGCACACTGATTGTTTGATCTGTCACGGATATCGGGGCTGGCAGCTACAGGATTATTATATTTCACTCACCCATTTCTCTCTCACATACCACTCTAAGGCTCTTATGGTAACCTCCCAGGCCAGAGTTTAGAACAAACCATCAGACAGGACACTTATCAAAGTGCAAACATTGACTTTACAATGTGGCAGTTAAAAATAACCTGCCAGAGACTGGGGCGTCAGGGAAGGCCATTGTCCTGCATGGTATAGAGTGTACTCCAGACTTCCTCCCGGAGGCCTTCTCTTCCACATTCTTTTAGTTCCTTCCTGTGGCTGCAAATTGACAAGGTTCAAAGGGGGCCACTGTCTTTAGGATGTCAGGTTTGTAAGTTTCTGCCCTTTCCCATTTACTCATTGCCTTCCGGGATAGCAGACAAATCCCAAACTGGTTGGTGCACAGAGAAGCAGTGCACAGGAGCCTACCAGCATTTATTTTTTTGCATCCAGAGGCATGTGGATCCTGGAAAAGAGGTACAATTCCCAAGGCTTGGTTTCAGCTCACAAAGTAGAGGATGAGCTCAAGAGGAAGTCTGAGGCTAAAGGTCAGGCTACTCCAGAGGCAGCTCACGGGGAAGGCTCCAGGCATGGCTGGGGAAGAGCAAAGGATGCAGCAGAATATTTTCAAATGTGATATAGGGGGGAAATGCCGCTGTCGAATAATAAAGGATTGGATCCTCCCATCGGAATTGAAGCATGGATGGGTTTACTGTCAACAGCCTGTTTGTAAGAGCAAAATTAGAATAGGTTCTGTTCTTGAAAGAAGACTATTTAAGAACCTTGAAAAGCGCTACTAAAAGAACTCTCAAAACTCTACACAAAAAGAAAAGCAAGAATCCAATTGGAAAATGAACAAAAGACAGGAAGAGACATTCAAAGAGGATTTATGATGGTAAATAAGCACATGACAAGTTCAACATCACTAGCCATTAGGGAAAGGCAAGTTAAGACTGCATCGAGATATCATTATACATCTGTTAGAATAACTAAAATGAAAATTAGTAATAGTGCCAAACGCTGGCGAAGATATGGAGAACTTGATCTCTTATACGTTGCTGGTGAGAATGCACAATGCTACAGCCACTCTGGAAAATAGTTCTATAGTTTCTTTAAGAACCAGACATATATTTACCATATCACCTAGGAATTGCATTCCTAGGCATTTATCCAAGAGAAACGAAAACTTATGTCCACGTAATAACCTGTACACGATTGTTCACAGCAGCTTTATTTGTAATAGTCCATAACTGGAAACAACCAAATCCCTCAGTAGGTGGGTGGTTAAACAAACTGTGGTATATCCAGACCATAGAATACTACTCAGCAATAAAAAGGAATGGCATTTATATAACATTCTTAAAATGACAAAATTAGAAATGGAAAACAGATTAGTGGTTGCCAGGGGTTAGGGAGGGTGGGTGGGGCATGATATGACACTACAAGGGCAATGAGAGGGATCTTTGTGGTGATGAAAAGTCCTGTATCTTGAGTGCAATGGTGATTACATGAATTTATATATGTGACAAAATGGCATGGAACTATACACACCCATTGTTTCAATGTCAAATTCCTGCATTTGATATTGTACTATAATTACGTAAGATATAACCATTGGGGGCAATTGGGTGAAGGATTCACTAGAATTCTGTGTATTATTTTTGTAACTTCCTGTAAATCTATAATCATTAAAAAAAAAATTTTTAACTCTACCCAGAGTTTCTGGACCTAAGCCAGATGCTGTGTGAATTCTGTGGTTTTGGCTATCCAGCATCGCTTCATCAGTGGTTTCCTGTTCACTGTGCCCATATTTCCTCAGCGGGACCCCTCTTCGCCTCTGTCAGCCCAGATAGTTCCAGGGAAAACATGTGACCCAGGCAGGAGAGGTCAGCACATTGTGTTGCCCTAAGCCAGTCTAGACTAGACTTTGCCGGAGCTGGGACAGAGATGATGGTTCTTTTGCATTGGACTCAAGTCTGGAAGGATGGAGGTCCGGGAACCACATGAGGGGGCTGCGCATGGCACTGTTGCCAGGGAAGCATAAATGAAAATGGAGAAGGGAATCCCTTTCAGAGGAAATCATTTGAGCCCTGTGGCCACTCATGCCTACCTGCAGACGGCTCTGTTTGTGAGCCAATGCATCCCATAAATTCCAGAGCAGGCAGCCAGTTGCCATAACACCTGGACATTTAACAGTTAATGTAATACAGGGAGGGAAAATGTTCTACTCTTTCATAAACGGACAAATAAACAAACAAAAAGCTCTCAGGGGCTGCCCACTAACCCAACTTCCTGTATCAGTGGTATTAATGGAAGCCTGTTGTCTGGGAATCCTGCCCACAAATCTATTGAAGAAACCCTTGTAAGAGCTGATTCTGAAACCTAACACCCCCCATGCAGGTACCTGAGGGATGGGGGAGGGAGAAGTCTCGTTTCATTACTTAAGGAGGAATACTGATCCCCTGAGTTGATAATATTTAGGCCCCATTCTCTCCCTCCAACTCCACTTTCCATTTTGAATTTTCATCTTCGCATTTCATTTTGCTTCCAAATTCCCTCATGTGCAACCCTGTTCTCGAGCCCTTTCGGCTAACCCATCCTTCTTCTCCTGTCTACCCCAATCACAATCTCTGTGGTGATGACGCTGCCTGGTCTCTGTCCTCCTCTCTCTTGTCCCTCTTGAGGCACCAAAGAGGTCGGAGGCCCACATCTTCCCTCTCCTCCAGCCCCCTCACCTCACCATCTCAGTGAAAACGGGGTATTTCCACCCGTGCTCTGGGTCCCAGGTCCTCAGGACTTGCTTTGTCAGGGATCTCTGCTCTCTGCTACCTTCAGCCTAACCCTCTGCTGGCCCCTTTGCCTTGCCATATACCTGCCTAAGTTTCTCTCTTCTTATGAAAACAAACATTTGCCCCCAGCCATTTGCCTCCTGGGAACTATTGTCCTATCTCTCCACTCTTCTCAGCCAAGTTTCTAGAAAGAACATTCTGCCTTGACTGGTTCTACGCTTCCTCACCTTTAATTAAATGCCCAGTCCTTGGCCATCTGGCCTCTGCCCTATTGAAACCGCTGAGATTTCCCAATTGCAAAACGGAGAGGTCTCATGCCAGTCTAATTGTCTTTGGCCCCCGTGTGCTGTCTGACATTGCTGTCCACTCCCTCCTCACAAACTCCCTCCTCTTGGACCTCCCTGACGCCATGCTGCTGGCGTTCCTCCAACCTCTCTGTCCACTTCTCCTCGGTCTCCTTTGCTGGGCCTTCTCCTTTTGCCCTGTTTCTTGGGGTTCCCTGGCCAGCCTTCTCCTTGTCCCTACATTCTTCTTCTTCTCTCTACTCTAACTGAGAAATCTCAAAATCCATGATTTCACTTAACACCAATATGTGCATGAGTCACCAGGCCAGGTGCATTTCCTAGGCTTCAGGTCACCTCGCTGAGGCCCATCACCTAAGCCCTCAAGTTCAGCACATCCAAGGTGAG